CTTCCATAGCGCAAGATGTTATCTAATTCCTTAAGACCAAGCCTTCCAAAGATATCCAGCAGAGACCTACCAAACTATGGAATATGTACACACTGTATCTGCCATATAAATTACAAATAAAGACATAATCCCTGAAAGGTTTGCATCGTAAAGACAAAACCCCGGCACATCTTCAGTGGAACCAGACATAGTAGATCATGCAGTGTGTAACAATATGTTGCCGCTATTTCTATTTAAGGTGTCTGTTTAAACAGATCTTCCCTGGGCAAGAGTGTCTACTAACCTACACCAAAGCCTAGCTTTCACACTAACCATTTCAAGCCTATTTTGCTTTCCATAAACGTGGCCCAACCCATGTAGAACACAAGTTGTGTCCCTTGCGCTGAAAACACAATATCCAATCAGATCGTTGTTCTTAGTTCAAATGGCTTCACAAAGATGACTACTATATGGCAGACGACTTGGTCGCTCAGATAGTTAGAAAAACAGACATTCTGTGAATACCAAACTCGCAAAGAGGGACAGGTCAGCCGAAATTGCTGAGGCCGAAGGCGACCTCTTATTTATTTAAAGCAACAACGATCAGACGACTTCATGCCTGACAGACAAATTACAGGTTACTGCCGCATTTCGCTCTTACGATGATAGAGGAATAAAGAATACACAGTATCAAGTAACACTGCACATAGCGGTAAAAAAGCTGCATCTCAGTGTGCTCTCAAATATATATGTTTGAGTGAGATGATTAAAAACTTTGAACCACTTCGAAAATATTTATCTTCGATAAAATTTTGGAATAATCTCGACAGGCGATTGTCGAGGCCAAAGCTGCCGACACGTTTTCAGAGTTGACTTTGTAAAACGGTTTCTGATTGGACTAAAGATATGTGCGATACTTTGCTCGTGTTTTAGCACAGAAAAGAAGGTTGGAAATGGCAAGGGTTAAAACTAAACTTTGATATAGGCTACTGGACACGCTTGCTTCGGGAAGATGGTTCAAACAGTAATGCTAGCTTCTTTTTTAAAATGGTTTAATTGTTTCTCTAAAGAAAATGAACCCTGGCCCAGTATATGTTAACTTCCCCGTTAATCCCCTGGGTCCCAGAACGACATTATGTATTGCTCTTTCACAACGCGGCTGGATAAAACTCACAGTACATCACACCCTCAAATCTATCTAAAATACACAAAGCGAAAATAGCTCGTCTTTTTAACATAAAACAAAATCTTGGACAACATTTAGCAATATCTTCTGGCTCAACATTTTCTCGTTATTTCACATTACGATTTCGGAAAGTCAACATTCTACATCTCTTTTTTTCAAATCTGTACCTATAAAATAAACTGCCTGGCAAATGATAGTTTACACTTGAAACTTGGTTTGGACAAAACAATACAAACGCTATCAAAACGTTACTATAGGCGGAACACAGTCGCAAAAAACACTGCAAAATGAAGGTCCAAAACACAACATTGATCCCCGCATCAAATACATCACCAGTGAACAACCATTCCTTGTTTGTTTCATTTACGTCACTATCAAACATGAGCGTATACCTTCCTTTGCTCCGCAGTGCGTCTGAAGATAAACGGAATTAACTGCCATTACCCATACAGTAACGTACAAAACATTTAAACCACGTTAGCGTACTGTACCGTGTCAACATTCATCTCCATTCTTCTCAAAGATATTCTTACCATTTTCGGCAACAGCGACATCGTCGACAACACCGAAGCATGGTACGCTGATGCTGTAGTTGTCACAGCTGTCGTTTCACACCCGTTGTTGTTTCAGCAGCAGCATTTGTTAATGTAGAACGTACGTAAGGATAAGCCGAAGACGTGGCCTATCCCAGTGAGTACGCGAGCTTTCCTGCGTCTGAACAACGTCTTGACATTTCATCCACCCTCAGTCATCTCCACCCTTGAAAGTCCCCGACTCACTATACAGGATTAAAAGACCATAGATGAGCACCTGTGTTGACAGGATACCCAACTCAATATATACCCTAGGGACAGCATAAATCAATCTCAATAAATAATTCACTTTGTAAAAAATTATAATTGGAAAATAACATAAAAATAATCAATAATGTTTTCATTGGATGTTATCTCCTCGGCATAATGTTTACAAACGAAATGTCACGATGTTTTCCGTATCAGGTAGTTTTTTAATAAAAAAAATCCAAGTTTGAGTTTACAGAAGGATGGGATTCAGCAATCAATAGAATTGACTTTGTGTCTCTGAAGCATAAAAAACTAACCTTATGTTATGTCCCCGGCATAATGTTAACAAACGAAATGTCAAGATGTTTTCCGTATCAAATATATTCTTTTTGTAAATTTGAGATTACAGAAGGATGGGATTCAGCAATCAATAGAATTGACTTTGTGTCTCTGAAGCATAAACAAACACGAAAATTTATCTTTCAGACTGTCCATAAGATTGTTTCGTCAGGAATGGCCAGTAAATTGTGAGTGGGTTGCGTTTTATCAGTATTACAAATATATCACGACAGGGGACGCCATAGGTTGTAGAACCTGTGTAGAATTGAACCTGGGTCACCGGCAGGTCGAGCGAACGCCTCATCCACTAGGCTATCCCGCTGCAGTTTTCATTATATGTGACAGGCTGGATAAAGTGAACAGTCTTACACATGTACACTCACTCAATATGAAACAACGCGAGATAATGGGCGTTGACTGTACACACTTTCTTTGGCTCCACTTATCTCGAATACACGCGTATCCCGAAGTCAAAGCTCCAAAGTACCCTATGCGAAAAAGCGCAAAAAAATAATTTTGCTTCAGTTTATTTCTTCCCCTGGAACATATCAACCATATTAATCATACCAATGTTATGTGGCAGAAAGAGATGGTTGTAAGATCATTCGTACTTATTGTACGATGGTAAAATGTCCAGTGCAGTAAGCGGCAGAGAGTGGGGGAATTTAGAGTTACCTCCCCTGGTTGTTGTAAGCAAACCCGACAGACTTTGTCTGGTTGGAGCGTAAACCTAACAGAGTGTGACTGTCTGAATATAGTGTATTGTGTGGTCATTTACTGATTTCATAATATAGTTAAGTTCGACCTGATTTCAGGGTTACCCTTAGCGTTTCTAGTTGGAAATCACCTGGTAACCTCAAATCGTACTTCTAGCTTAGACGAGTATAAGTACTTAGTCAAATTTAATCAAATGGGTACTCGTTCCTGTTACTGTGGTTCATTATATCATTGTTAAAACATATTTCCCCGTGTAATGTGTCTTGATTTATCCCAAAGCTTTATTACAAATCATGTCTTTCGAACAGCATCGAAGGAATCTGTTCGAGTGAGAAAAAGTCTGCAAGGTTAGACCAGCTGTCTTAGGTTCCGCAACATGCAACAGCGCAGAGCTGTATCCCTTTGCCGCGGGGTTCGAATCCAAGATTCACCTCGATTTTGATCCTGCGTCGTATACAAAATGGAAAATGTTCAAGGAACTGTGTCCATTTCCTCTCAAAAAAGCTTACACACTGAGAAAGAGATTTCAAAGCGGAGTTAAACCCAAGTCATTCACTCACTCACTCGGTCACAAGGAGAAATATTCTTGTAATCTTAGCTATGAAATTTTGTATTATGGAAAATGTAAACCACTCCAAAACACTGCTCTCCATTTTCACTGAGCTCTGTTAAAGAGGAATAACATGTATTCTAACACCATTGTGAAAATCGTATTGTTATTTGGACCTGTATAAAATGAGTCAGTCATTCGATTATCGAGATTGACATTAAGCTGATTTTTTGCATCGGGTGGTCACAATATATCTGACCTCACTGATCATATATATTAGTAGCCCGTGGTTTCGTTGTTCATGCTATCAACCAATGGCTTGGCGCTTCACAATGGAGTGTTCACCATCTTCCCGAGGCAAGGAGTTAACTGACTCCAAAAGTCCAGTTTCCACATTTTGGCTGGACTAACGAGTCTATGCATAGTCCAATCAAAATCGCGCACCGAAATCGAAATCCGGTTCGTAAACTGCCGTGCAGAGTTCGGTCGATTGCCAGATTTGTGAAGCATGTGTTCCGCCAACTCGGCGTCAACAGATATTCTCCAGATCCTTTCATGTTTCTAATCAAGGTTCTCGCTGGATTTGATGCACTTTGCAAAGAAAGGCCCGTTTTATTAAAATATAAATATTGATTACTGATTTAATTGATCATCTTAGTTTGTGATATGAGAGGTGGAACCCGTTTGGTCAATAGGAGGGACATAGAAGGGACATAACCCGCAATAGCCACTGGTGGCGCGACGATCGAGCCCAGAAATTCCAGCGAAGCTCGGCAAGGGTGGAAACTGGACTTTTACAGTCTGTTAACTCCCTTGTCTGGTGAAGATGAGTTTTCAAAGGATGCCGCCAAATGGCTGGATAAGCACCGACTGCAACGTTATACTCATTCACTGTGGTAGTTTCCATAAAGCTTTTACTCGATCAATATTACCATGTCCTACCATGCAATGAATTCGCAATCGATCGGCGTTTGTTTACTTATATACCAGACACAACAGCAAGGATGTAGATGAGGAGGCAGCATCAATTATGTATTGTACTCATCCAGTCATCATGTTAGCACAGACAACCTGTGATGATCACAAACATCAACGAAACACAAGGGGCCGTTTCAACACTAAAAGTCGTTTATTTGAGATACATTAGACGTGATATATGCACACAATAGATCTGTTAAAATGATAAAATATACGAGAGAAAAATATAACGGGTGAATAATAGCACGGACCTATATAACAAGTCCGTGATAATAGTAAAAATAGTAAAAATGTCAAAAAGACAAAATTTTATTAGAATTATTGTAAAAACTGGTTGTAGACATGTTTTGTTTTGTTTGTTGTTTAACGCCGCACTCGGCAATATTCCAGCTATACGACGGCGGTCTGAAAAATAATCGAGCCTGGACCAGACAATCCAGTGAATCACATCAGGAGCATCGATCCACACAATTGGGATCGATGACATGCATCACCACCCGATCCCGTTAGTCGCCTCTTACGACAAGCATAGTCGCCTTTTACGGCAAGCATGGGTTGCTGAAGACCTATTCTACCCCGGAACTTCACGGGTCTAAATACATCCTTTAAAAAATACGCTTTACATGATCAATTCCCATTTTTCGAAACACTTGTTATTGACGTTGAGAAAAACAAATATGTCAATAATTGTATTTTATACAGTCCCTCAAATCCGAATGTACACTTCGAAATTTACAACATATCGGGCAGTGATCCCATGATATCCCAACCGAGGACCTCGAAGAGGCTGTGGCAGTTGCAGTCTTCTGCGAAGAGGTTTGGGACGAATCTATCCCACATCAGCAACCACAGCAGCCCGCACAGAAAAAGGATTGTCACTGACCACCACAGCAAGGTCAAGGCGTATTGGGGGGGGCCACCTGAAATGGATCTGCCGTTTTGTCCATGAAGCTCTGTAAAAGACCGGGTGTTTCAATACATTCGACTTCAGATAAACGGAGTCGGATATATTTAACGATTAATAGTTTTATAAGACGTTGATAATATTAAACCTGCTGCAATGACATTGCCTATTATTATATAAATGGATTGAGAGTGATTCCATGGAATTTGATTGGCTCACCAAGCAATAATTTGTGGTCATGTAAAACCCTAGCGGACTACTGTTCCCTGATTGGCTGATAACAGAATGGGCGGGGCTTGTGTTACATGGTGGGGCTGAGCGAGGCAACGGATTTCGTATCGTTGTCTACAGTTTTGAGCTTGTTAAAAATTAGATAACGAGTTTGTGAAGTTAATATTTATAAGAATTGATTTCAATATATTTATGAGTTTTTCGAGGTATAAACTTAATAACCGATGTGCACGTTTTGCCACGTGGATTAACACAGTGTACATAACTATTGTCTATACTAGTGAATATCAAATTTTGGATATAACGAAGGGATTCTTGGAATTCGAAATACGGGGTAAATTGTAGGATTAGAACAAGAACGTGGATATTCCAATGCAGAAGAGTCGGGGGCAGCCTGGTGGTTAAAGCGTTCGCTCGTCACGCCGAAGACCCGGGTTCGATTCTCCGCATGGGAACAAATTGGGAAGCTCGTGTCCTCCGCCGTGATATTAATGGAATATTGCTACAAGCGGCGTAAAACCATACTCACTCACTCTGATATAGAACAATTGGTTATCAGTATCTCATGTTTGTCGTCAGGGCAGCCTCCACGTCTTGAGAAGTGTTCATGTTTTTCAGTTTGTGGTTTGTCTGGTCCAAATTCCATTAGTAACAGGCCATTGTGATAACGTTATAGGATACACAACTTCTCGTGAGGACGATCTGTGCCGTAGGTCACATGTCTCAAGACAAGCAACCAGTTTTTGTGAGAATCCGTCGCACGCGAACTCGCGACCTTCGGATTGTTAGCCTGACATCTATCCGGCTGAGCTACGTCCACACTGTAAAACTTAGTGCAAATTTACCTAATCATGCCTATGACGTTACGGAACTGAACGAAAAGGGTCGAATAGGTGACGGACACTTACGAAGGTTACGGGTAGGCATGGTGTCTCGTAACTTTAGTCTACGGACACTTACGAATGATCCCGTTTGGCATTCGGCACACTCGTCCCATTCTGTAATCTACAAGATACCGAGTGGTGAGGAATGAGCCGATATGCCGCGAACTGAAAACGGCTCCAGGCGTCAGACGTCAGACGTCGAACTCGCGAGTATGCATGAATGATATGGTATTTAATAATTCGTCGGGTGTTTTTTGTGACAGAAAAGTGTGGTAGGGAACACTGTAAGGATGATGTGGATAATAGTAAGGAACGAGGGAGGAATAAGGCTCCATAAGCATGACTAGTGACGACACAACGGTGAGTTCCCTTTTGAATCAGTACTGACAAAATGTAGCCGGTGAAAGTGGCTTGTGTGAATGTTCCAGGACAGTTTCCAGTAGCCAAAATATTCAACACAAAACCATTTCATCCTTTTTACTCGACGTTTTTGTGTGAAAAATATTAGAAGCCGCTATATAATGATCTATAAAAGCCACTAAACGAGTACCTAACCCTAATGATCGTAAAGGGGTGATTTATCGTAAAGGGGATCCAAGGGCTGAGGATAGAGTTCGGGGTAACCTACCCTAACACTGGCGACATTTGGATGTGTTCAGCGCCAATATAATATCCCTAATAAACTGCATTCTTGTGAAAATTAATGCACCGAAAAAATAATATATGTATATTAGTTCCCATTTATAACCATTTTATCCACTTCAATTGCGAGAAAAAACGAAATAAAAAATATATAAAAAACAAAAGTGCTTTCGTAAACTAGCGCTTGCTTTAAAATGCGCCGCCGCAGGCTATAATTAGTAAACAAATACTCAAAACTCTCAACACTGCAGGGCGTATTCAATGACATTGCGTGTAGAGATGATAGATCACTGGGAGGAGCTTATGCACACTCGATGACCCCTGACGTCACAAGGCATTGTTTCGCCGGTGTGACTGGCAACAAGATATACAAATTACGTCATAGTGTATGATCATGTGTTTGAAAAGTTTGTGGTACTGTATTCTTAAAGGGCAAGTTCACACGGAAATGAACCTAATTTTCTTGTACTTTTTCCACAATAAAAGTGTTAACCTAGAAGTGTCATAGACAAAAATATAAAAATATCACAATTAATTAACATATGTTTTGCATTAAAACGATTTATATTTTTCACATTTACCAAGTGTTCTATTTCCATAACAAAAACACCATGGCTTATGCCCCTTGCAATATGACGTCATTGGTGCCAATTGATAAACATTATGACGTCATCATGCTTTGTTAGAGCCGCTTCACGTGTTGTAGGTACAGATGTGTGATTCTAGCGTCTCAGATGCCAGCCAGCATAGTGTTATGCTGAGTCACCACTGCGCCGGAGTGTGTCGTAGGCCATGTTGTTTTACCGCAAACTTGTACTTGATATCTTTTGCGTTCAGAATAGACAGGGACCCAGTTGAATTGGCACCAATTACGTCATAATCTAAGGGGGATAACTCAGGCCAGTTTAGCTCGAAAAACGAAGGCCTCATAACGGCATATCATTTTCACACTATTGTGAGCTTCCTACTTTCACTGTGAAAAAAATGAGTGTATATTTTCAAACACAGATACTAACTAATTCTAAAATTGCGTTTTGTTTAGAAAAAGAAAGAAAGTGATTTTTGCGTGTACACTTCCCCTTTAAGGTAAAGGTAAATTAAATTTTCCTTGTACTTTTTCAGCATGAAAAGTATTTACCCAGTAGTTTCAGAGCCCAAACAATACAAATATCACAAGTAACTAAGTTATTTTATTCATTAAATCGATTTATATTTTTCACATTTACCACATTTCTATTTCCATAATAAACACACCAGGGCCCGCTTGCACAAAGCGATCTTAGCGCTGGGATGATTGTAACTCCCATACTTTAACATAGGCTTACAATAGTCGTAGCACTAAGATTGCTTTGTGCAAGTGGGCCCATGGCTTATGTCCCTTTCAATATGACGTCAATGGTGGCAATTGATAAAGGAATGACGTCATAAGACTTTATTAGCCCCTATTCACGTGGTGCAGGTACAGGTGTGGGATTCTAGCTTCTCACTCATTTACTCATTCATTCACTACCTGGAACAAACTAATATGTAAGTTCCATTAACTGTCATTCCTTAAGTACCTTCTCGGACTCTAATATCATCTCCAGCTGCCATGAAAGCCCTGAGGACAAAGTCTGGCACCAGCCTCCCCTCTCTTCTCTTCCAAAACCGCAGGGTTTCACTGTAGTTGAAGATCGGACGGGGAGAGAAGATCTCCTGTGCAGTAATATAAAGATGTATGTTCCTAAATGCACGTACAGTTGACTACGGTTATTACGAACTCGAGGGGGCCACTAATTTTAGTTCGTAATAACCGTAGTTCGTTATAAGCATACATACAGCATATGGACAACAAACGGTCGGGACTAAAAGTAGGTTCGTTATATCCGTCAGTTCGTTATAAGCGTGTTCGTTTTAAACGTAGTTTACTGTAGTTAAGAAGAGTATGCGGCACCATGCTAAAACGTGTCAATATCCGTTACAGTCACACATGGTCCTTTGTTTTGTGTGTTCGTTTGTTGTTTAAAGCCGCAATTAGCAATATTCCAGCTATTTGACGGCGGTCTGTCAATAATCGAGTCTGGACCAGACAATCCAGTGATTGATATCATGAGCATCGATCCACGCAATTGGGATCGATGACATGCATCAACCAAGTCAGCGAGCCTGACCACTCGATCCCGTTAGTCGCCTCTTACGACAAGCATAGTCGCCATGGTAAACATGGGTTGCTGAAGACCTATTCTACCCCGGATCTGAACTTTTATGAGGGTCATCACTGCACAATAGCTGCACCATGCGTATCCCCGCATCTGTTCAACGCCGGATCTTTACGGGTCCCACACACATAGTCAACCACGTTTGTAACTTTTGTTTGAGATGTTTTTGAGAATATTTTTCAATCAGCGCTCCAAGACAAAAACGATTCTCTGAGAGGACAAGCCTATAAAAGATTGTGTTGGCCTTCATCAATATTTTTCAGAACATCCAACAAGTTCAGTTAAATGTAAGCAGAAGTTATTTCGGGACGTTTTCCTGGAACATATTATTATTTTTCAAAACATCTTCTATTCTTTTGATGGTCTGTGGTGACCCTACTTGCTGTATTGTTTTGACCTGCAATGACCTGTTTTCAGCTGAATACTCTAGGCCTTTACAGGCGCTATATAATGAACGACGTGCAAAATATACACCCATGTTTGATAATGTTGTGGCTAAACATGAAACAAACAAGAATGGTTATTCGATGGTGATGTATTTGATAGGGATATCATGGTTGCGTCTTTGGACCTTAACCCGCTGAATGCCTAAACAAAATAATTTTTTTGTCATTTTCTTTCTGATGCACATTTTGATAAGATTTGAAAAGTTAAGGTTGCGCGAGAACTGCGATCGCTCGGCACTGGATGTACCTCCGGCTATAAAATTACGCAGATATGTAAAACATTAAATTTGCCATCTGATGGTGTAAATGGATGAAATGGATTTGTATGCTTATTTATAACGTTATACATTCAATACAAGTCCAGGAAAAGACTACCAGCGCCCTCTGTTGACAGATAGGCCGTAAATGATGAAAACTGATTTTCCTCTATGTCGTCAAAAGACGACAGAGGTTACGCACGTACAAAGAAAGGGGGGGCATAACTCTGCTATGCGTTGATGTGGGTAAGGACAATACATTTTCGTGATGTTTTCTTCACGAGGAACTAAGCTACTCCAACACAAATATCGATATTGAAACTGTATATGTTAGATATAAAACAAAACATAAGACATGATGAAATAAAAAAGGAAGTAATAGCAAATTGGATGTCCCTATCTAACATATATATTAGTCATTGGATTCCAACATTCTCCTGATTGTGCAAGTGTATTGACTAATGTTGCACCATTATTAATAGAACAGTAGCTTTATCACTAAATGTAATGAAATATTCAAATTGACAGCATTTTATTTGACGTCAAGTCTGCATGATTTTTATGTCTTTGACGGAGTCGGGGAAAGACATATTGGTATTTGTATCAATATTTATCCTACCTTATTTTCGTTAATGGTGTGGAAAATCTCGATGAGTAAAACGGAATTTGACGCTTTTCGACACAACATAAAAGTGTACATAGGGTAGACTGCAGTATTTGGGTCCCCACTTCGGAAGGAACGTTTTTACGTGTACATATGTATTATAACTGACATCAATCCGCAATGTTTGCACAGCTATAGTATACAAAGGCTGTTTAATGTGGCAGACTGAGGGTTAACTTACTTCGCTTGATTTCATCTCGACAAAAACAAAAACAAAAACCATTTGTCATTTGATTCTAAAATGTGCGAGGAATTCAAGGACACTATCCAATATGGCGGAAAGTTCACTTCGGCGTTTGTGTTTGCGTATTTTCCAAAACATTCTAAAGGATTCTATGGTTATCGGCGACGTTTTGGAATGATCATTGGTGATTTGATACAGATACCCGTGATCACTAATATGCTATTTTTTTTATGAATTCATTTCTCCGAGTTATATCCGAGATTTAGATTTAGATTCAAACCCGCACAGGGCATGTCATTTACGTTAACATTTCGACCACTAGAGAGAGCCTTGTGGATAAAAAGACTAGAAAGAGTCTTGTGGAGAAAAGAAAGGTCACAAAAATCTTTGGAAATGCTAAAATGTAAATCTAGATGCAATTACTGAATTAATAATTTAGAAGCCCTTTTAAAATATCTGAGCCCAAATGTCAACAAATGTATTAATAAATTACAGTAGATCAAGATAGGGACAGAAGTCCTTACCGTTTTGCTTTCTTTCACGTCCATTTTTTTCCGCCTCGCCAGGAACTGAAGCCGCTACAAAAGCGTGACGTCACCTATGTCGTCACGGGAGTTGTCATGGCTTTTCTCTGTGACGACAATGTAAGTGACGTCACATTAACATTCCGATGATTTGTCATGCCGTGTCGGATACCTTCCGCCTTTTTGATAAGGGATGTGCCCGAGCTCGATATCATTCCAGCCTGTTGATGTGAAGCGTAAAGAAAACTGAAAAAAGACATATCATGAAAAACGCGCTTTTAATTTTTGTCATTACTGTAAGTTATATTCCTTATCGTCAGAATGGCTTGTTTTCACTTTATTAGTATCAGCAAACATGCAGCTGTCTTCGTCAGTTAATCATCGAATATTTCGTGATTCTATTTCGAGTGTCGAGGACTATAATGACATTTTCATGATGACATTACAAGTATCATGAGAAATATAGATTTCCACTTATCGTATTTTGTATTTTCTTCGAGAAATCAGTATGGATATGTGTGTACATGTATGTAGTCGATTATTATCATGGATAATCTCATCTTTCTGTACTTAGTAATTCAAGAACCCGTCTTATATGGAAATAAAACACCATCAGTACATGACTGACAAGTTACATTCCGTTTTTGAATGAGTGAGTTCAGTATTTTAGTTACATCAAGGCGTGTCAGCTTGGAGTTGGAGGAAAGATCTTTGACGTTTGGCACATAAGTGAAACCCATATGCACGAGCACTGGTTTGGTGCTGACAAATCTAGAAACAAAATCTGGGCAAATCTGGCATTTGAAGCCACGATCATAGGTTTCTGGTAACGACAAAGCCCGGTTGTGATAGGCACAGGATCGCCATCAAGGCGGATGTGGCATTCTTAGTAACGGCTTTAAAATTGGAATTGTTCCCGGGTGAAATAGGGTCTTACGTCCCGTTCAAGATCGCCCGGACTAACGCCGGTTTGATACTGTTAGCCCACTGAGATACCATGCCGCAGTTTAACAAGCTGAGGCACAATATACCGACTCCGATCCGACCAGTCCTTTATGCCGAGCGCCAGGCAAGGTAACAACAAGTACTATAATTTAACGTCTTTTAGTATGACGCTGCCGGGGATCGAACCCCTTTCGCTCTCCGGGCAGACGCTATATCCACTAGACTAGGTAGGCTGTCCTTGTTATTAGGAAGTATGTATATATCCCCCCTATTTGTTTCCACCAGGAAAGCTTCACAGTATATTGGCATCAGAAACTAAAACCAAAAATACAATTGGTCTTATTAAAGTTGATGCAAAGCAGACAGCAGTAAAGAGTTGAGGTTCCCTATCTAGGACAAAAGCGTGAATAAATGGTGCTTTCTCGTGGCCTGTAAATAATACGTCAGGGCAAACCAGTGGTTGATAGTAGGAGCAACAATCCAAAATGCCCCACACCACGAAACCATATCAGCCAGTTGATGCATTTTAACCAGTTAACCACCTGGACCACGAAAGTTAGAAATAGGTTTATGTTACACTGGTTTCACAAAGCAACCTTAGCTTGATCTTAACCAAGTGTGTCAGCCTTAGCCTTAAGGTTTTTTGGTGGAACAGTGCAAAGATCCTCAATGTATTCATGCCGGCCAACAAGTAAGAGTTCCTCATATAGGATCTCAGACATTAATTATATAAATGGTTCGTTGGTTGTTTAAAGCTGCACTCAGAAATATTCCAGCCATATGACGGCGGTCTGTAAATAATGGAGTCTGGACCAGACAATCCAGTGAATGACATCATGAGCATCTATCCATGCCATTGAGATACTATTATATGCATCAACCAAGTCAGCGAGCCTGATCCCGTTAGTCAGTCGCCTCTCATGACAAGCATAGTTGCCTTTTACGGCAAGCATGGGTTGCTGAAAACCTATTCCACCCCGGATCTTCATTCTTTTTCCAAAATGACATATAAAACACATAATAATCACAAAACCAACACTAGTTGTTTGCAGTGTTTAATCTGGTTTGGCGATAATTATTTGACTATCTTACATAATAATGAAGCCATGAAAGCAAGATTTACAGAAATATGACATCCGCTCTCTACCTCTGTATCAACAGCATCAGTATTCTACATATGTACAGGTGGTGCACATCACGATGGAGGCAACACACATGGAGAACAAGGAAACATAACAATCCATATAGTGATAATACTCATCACCGTCCAGTAACTACAATCATCATCATGATTTTAACAAATATATGAACATGACCTGTCATGATCTTACACACATAAAAACAATGTTTTTCATTTCTTATAGGTTAAAAATAATCAACCATTACACATGTAACATAACACATACACATGATACCCTGTTTGAACAACATGAATCAGTACATTTCTTCTCTCTTGCTATACTCTAGGTTATTGCTACTGTTGTTTTGATCGGCAATGTTATCACATGAACTACAATATTAAAATTGGATCACATGGTTTAAATGGTTTGTGGTCAGACTGTTTAAATCCATAGTCAGCAATATTACAGCTGCAGGGTTAATTCAAGTTAAGACAAGCCCGACAATCTAGCAGTTGATAATGAGAGAAACAATCCTATTGGGTTATAATGACAGTGAGCCAGGTCACACTACACTGTAACCACACAATGCTGAATCTAGTCCGCTCTTAAGACTTGCATTGAGTACCTACATATATCCTGACCTGGAAACTCTAACTGGGTGATAGGTGAGAACTAAAACAAAGAAATGAATCACCTTTTACCTGTTACCTTTCATTATTTCAGTATTTCAACTATTTCATCACATGTCAAATTAATGTGGGAGGAAATCCTGAAGTGATGCAGGATTTAGACATCTTATCAATTTGGTGAAATCGTTGAGTACTGATATTGTGCGAACAAACCTAGAAACATAATGAAGGAAAATCTGTGATTCAAACCCATCATGGGTTCCTGGCATGCCAAAGGGACGTAACTCTGCACACTGAATTGCAGCAATTTCGATAACTTGGACGCCAGTGCCCTGTTTCATCATGTAATACATCCATGGCTTCACCTTTAAGGGATGGAATGATTACAGTGATGTATCCTGATACAAATACAATACAGAACATGCTAATTCTCTAGTGTGAAGCAAACATGTATTGAGCAGTGGAAGACCTTCTCCAGCTGTCAACCTTACACAGACTCTTAGATCCACTACTTCACCAGGGTCAAGATGTAAGTAAAATATCTGTTTTATTTAACATTTCACAAAACAGCAGTGTACTGGAAAATAATATTGGGCTAAGTCTTAGTATCTTTGTCCGAAACATAAATCCTATTATTGACGAAGTATCAAGAAGATATTCTTTCAGTACAGTTCAGTACAGTTTGCCCAAAACAAATAACTGGTTCTCCATTTCACTCCTAGACAAAAGACAGCTTCCACACTCAGACAGAGCAGACAATCATTGATGCTCTGCAGTTACCTCAAATTTACATGCACAACCCAGTATCATAGAGAGAGAGACACTGCATACAGCAGGAATGTTTGCAAAGACATTGAAAACAGACAGAAGGTATACCAATCACTAACTCCTATCTTCATCAACAGAAGCAGATTTACCTCATCAGCATGCACATAGCATCCTAAGAAAGCCAACACAGACCCGGTATGCTAGATTTGGTTCATTCTCAAAAACATTTTTTTAAGAACTTTTATGATCTGTTTGTTGTTTCACACCGCACGCAACATTATTCCAGCTAAATGATGGCAGTCTGTAAATAATCGAGTCTGGACCAGACAATCCAGTGATTGACATCATGAGCATCAATCTACGTAATTGGGATACGATGATATGCATGAACCAAGTCAGGAAGCCTGACCACTGATCCCGTTAGTCGCCTCTTACAGCAAAACATGGGTTGTTGAACACCTGATCTACCCCAGATCTTCACAGGTCTCTTGATACATTGAACCAAGTCAATATAGATTCACCATTGTGCAACACAAGATGAAGGTCATCTAATCTCCGGGAACCTGTACATGTTTCTTCACTAGTCTCACAACTAAATATACATGGGATGAGAGGGGGAGTAAATAATCTCATGTGTGAATGTACCGTTTCACACACAATAAATGCCCCTCTTGAAATAACCTTGAAAAATGCTAAGCGTAACCTCCAAGCACACAGCGCCGTCCAAATCAGCAGCCCCATCCTACAATGCACCCTGTGAGCCCCTCTAAATGAACTGCCTGGGATTGTAGTCCTATCCTACAAGGCATGTCATATATTTATACAGTGCTAACACCTATAGTTCAGCTCCGATTCTTGCATCCCAATTGTGCAATATCAAATTGTCCACCAAATGTTCTGCTACTGTGATGAAACTATGAAATATTTAACAATACTAAATAACCATTTGGTTTAGATAGTGAGTGAGTGAGTTGGGTTTAACGCCGCTTTTAACAGTATTCCAGTTATATGCGGCGTGTCAGCTTAATGTGGGAGGAAAGCCCCGAAGTGATGCAGGTCTCAGACGTTAATCACTTCGGTAAAACCCACGAGCACGGGTATGGTGCTGACAAATCTAGGAACATAATTGGGGCGAACCGGGATTCGAAACCACAATCATAGGTTTCTGGCGTGCCCAAGGGACGCAACTCTGCACAGCTAATCGCAGCGCCTTAGACGACTGGGCCACCCGTGCCCCCTGGTTTAGATAGAAACATCTGTATTTCACTGTAAAGTTTATGTGAAGTCATAGTTTTTAACTCTTTCACCTCCTAGATGCATATTTTAAAAAATAAATCCCTTTAACCCTCAACAAGCATATCATACACAGCAAAACACTCAGGTAATAAGAGACTTCAGTGTTACAGTGAGAGGGATGTCATCATTACATTCAATAGCACATGACACAATAAATACAATCAACCTTATATTCAAAGGTCCCCATTGCACGGAAAGTTGCTAGTTTGTGTTTGTTTGTTGTTCAACACCGCACTCAGCAATATTCCAGCTATATGACCATGCTCTGTAAATAATTAAGTCTGGACCAGACAATCCTGAGATCT